GGATGGATGGATGGATGGATGATGGATGGATAAATGTTGGATTGACAGATGGATGGATGGATAAAAGTTGGATGGACCGATGGATGGATAGTAAGATAAATAGATAGAGAAATGATGGAGGGATGGCTGGATGGAGGGATAGATGAATAGATAGATGATGGAGGGATGGGTAGTTTGATGGTTCTTATTGTAAATATCCGGTGTTTCAAAACTGCATAAGTGACCTTGAAAAATTAAGATACACTTTTTAGTATGCATTTGTTTTTATTGTAGTTTTACCCTCTTATTTTTCTTTTAATGTATCCTTTATTACCTTTGGACAAAGCTATAATGTTCATCACAGTATCACCAGGATAACGCACCAAACACTAAATACAGTAGCTGCAATATTTGCTTGATTTCTTTGCTTGATATCTTGCCAGATATTCATTCTTTACAGGCCCAAATTTATATTATACAACCAGTCGGATTTCCTTTCATAGCCCTCTGGGCTCTCATGTTATTTATGATTTACTGAAAACTCATGGACATTATAGGAAACATTATGATGGAAAATGTGAATAGTGAGTTTATCACAATGGAAATCAGGACTGCCTGAGTCAGACTTTAAAAAAATCTTACAGTAGGGAGAAGGCAAGGCACTGACTGCTAGTCACCTTACAGAGATTTCATTGTTGTTGGGTTTTTTAATGAAATCATGCCTTGCAAAAATAACACTGTTGGATTTTGAGAAAATTAAACAGAATAAACAATACAGCAAATGTATTATAGTTCATTTTAATATGAGGTTGTATCTATCCTGAAGTTTAGGAGCAACATAGAGCCATCTGGTAAATGTTTTAAACCAAACATGCATCAAATCGTACCCACTAATGTGTATGTTTACCTGGAATTTGCATTAGAAAAACATTCTGGTGGATGAGGTCCCAAAAAACCCTTCCCAGGGGACTTCATTCTTGTAAATCTGACCCTAGCGATTGTAAATAATGTTGCATCTGAATGCTTTTCTAATATCACATGGTCTCCCTCTCAACAAAAAAAAAAAAAATTGGTAACAAAGATAATGAAAGAGAAATAATGAATTCAACCAAGTTTATAACGGAAATGGTTAAACTGATATCCAGGTTAATCAACAAGTTTGACTACTTGTCAGATTGCATCCTGTACCAAAGTTCTTTGACCTGCATCTTAAATATTTAGTGTTGCAAACAAGGTAAGGTGCAAAGAAGTCACTTCAGAATATTTACCATACTCTGCATAGTAATGGACACATGCTCTGGTTGCTCATCTGTTCTGAACCACAGGAGAATCAGTGGCCCAAGGCTGTGCCTCAGGCTAAATCCACAGCAAACAGAGCACTCTGTTTATTATTCCACAGCAGCGGTTTTAATGCAGGCCTCCCCTGTACACAGCCACACGCTCACAGCTGGCACCTCACACACAATACCAGTCCGCAGGCTTCTTTCTCTCCTCGTTGCTGTTTTATGTTGGGGTGAGGGCTGGGAGGGGGGGTTCCAGCGTTTCCCTTGCTCCACATCCCAAGTTCTCATTAAACCTGCCATAATTGGATTGGGCGTAACAGACATATGGAAATTGCGGTGCCGTTCATCATTAGGGTTTTAATTGCGCCCATTTCGGCCTCTGCGTTTCTGCCTCTAAATAAGTCATAGGTGTTCACAGGGCTTGTTACTGAAAGTCAGGTTGGTTCAACCAAACACCCTGATGTCTGGGAGGATGAGAAGATTCCTCCCTTCACGTCTCATCACCTGTTTTATTCTTTTTCTTTTCTTTGTCCAGCTTTGAAAACTATGTCTATTTCCTAGGTGGATTTCATCTATTTTTAACGTAACTTTTGTTTTGATGACAGTATACTTAAAAGTTTGGCGTTGATGGAAAGAAAACAAATTAATCATTAAAATGGCATGTAGTGTTTTCACACACTGTGAAATATTGAAAATTGAAAACTGTTTTCATCTTATATTGGTGTTTTATTGAAAATCCATTATTCTCAAAATTCCATTCAAAAATCCATCTTTCCAAACCAGATTTGAGCCATTATCATTTGGCCTTTTTTAAATGACACTCACAAATAAACCTTTTGTTTTTGTTTTCAGGACTATGGACGTTCTTATCAGCCTCAACAGTGGAAAAACTTTCATCTCTAATGCCTTCACCATCACTGCATCTTCATGTGTGAGTCTGGATCATTTTTAGTCCAACCAATTTAAAAATTATTTACGTACCAAAAAAATCCCCAAAACATCTTGAAAGTGCAAGAAGAATAGTAAAGGAGATACAATTTAATCTCCTCCTGGTCAGTAGGTGGCGCACTCGTGCTCACTAGCTCTTATTCATACTTTCATTGTACTGTTTGCGAGCAGATTGCCAGGTCTGACAAAGCTAATAATAATCTTTGGCTGGCATTAGGAAACATTTAACTTACCTGTTGAGAAGGGACGTCGCAACTGCTGCATGGCTTCTGAGCCCCTTTGCCTCCTTAAAGGGGAACGCCGTTTTTTACATTGGGCCCTTGATTTTACGTTATTACATCATGTTCTACTCACCCATATGAGTTTTGTGTCATTTGGAGCTGTTCTGAAGATATTCCGTTACATCCAAGTAACGTCTTCCTATGAGCAACGACTTGAATGCACAAACTAAACTGTTCATAATTTATTCTTTATGGTACGCCAGGATTCATAACATGGAGGCAAATCACTGTTTATAATCAAAGCATCATAACCAGAGTAAATTTGTATAAATTTTGGACCTTTCAAAATTCAGAAAACAAACATTTTTATAAATTTTTTTTTTGTAGTAAAAATAAACGTTCTGTGGATTAATTATTTTAATTATGAATGAAAAAGTTGTAGCTATAACCTTTCAGTATGCATCCCAATGTGATTTTATTCAGATTCCATTGCTGGATGGATAAGTTATACTATGACCAAGCCACTTAGAAATGATTGTGTTAAGATGTGTTTAATTAGATCCACATACTACAGAATAAAAAAGTTTGAACAAATTTCAGCACATCTCTCTAAAAAACAGCTGTTGCAGTGTTTTGGAATACTTATCCTGTTTGATTTGTACTCTAGCTATATTTTTTCTGGTACAAATATTTACATTCAACTTGACTTTGTTTTTATTAGAATTGTTAAGTTAAGTACCAAGAAAGCAACATATGTTTTTGCTGTTTAAACACACAAACACCAACACAAATTTTGGTCAATCATTTTTTTTCATTGTAGAAACGTTTATGTCCCTTAAAAGCAGATTTTAGTGATAGTGGGGGGTAATGCTTTAGCTACAGAATGTTACACTTAGTTCCACACACAAACTCTCTAGATGTGTTGAGGTAGACAACAAGGCGGGAGTGGAGCATTGGCTCAGCTGCTAATGCCAGATAATATGGTCTCCTTTAATAGATGGTACATTTGGTTCTAGCATTCAATTGTGTATCCTCTCCTTTCCATCCATCCTCTACAGCAGGGGTGGGCAATTCCAGTTCCTGAGGGCCGCTACCCTGCAACTTTTAGATCTGTCTTTGGTCCAGCACACCAGAATTAAATAATTAGATGATTGAGAGAACTCTGGAGGAAGTGACTGCATACTAAGGAGGTAACCGAGCCATTTAATTCAGGTGTGTGGAGCAAGGATGGATCTAAAAGTTGCAGGATACCGGCCCCCAGGAACTGGAATTGCCCACCCCTGCTCTACAGCATTCCTCCTACAATGTTTTCACATACCTGTTATTCCAAAAGATTTAAAACATAATTCACTGGACTTGGTTTCCAAGATGGAAGATGTTTTGCTTCCCATTCAGGAAGCTTTTTCAATTCAAAATTAGCGTTGAGTTTGAAGCTGACATTTCGAATTGAAAAATGACAATGCAGCTTAGCTATGATGTTGGAGAAGGGGGTGGAGGTGGGCTGAATTGGGGTTATCTGAGGCAAAATCAGACACGGCGCAACCACTGCTTGCACTGGCTGGGTAGCAGGTGGAGTCGTGAACCTGAAAACCTTTTAAAATGAACTCTGGATGCTGATTGGGCTTCGTGAAGGTTCGGTTTAAAGCTGATTGGTTTGTGTCAGAGGCAGGTGATCCTCTGATAATCAGGGCAGGTAGTTTAGTTTTTTAGTTGAACTTCCTCCTAGGCTTCATTAATTTCAGTTTGGTTTATTAATGTTTCCCTTTCTCTGATATAAATGTAAATTTTTAATCTTGATTTCTTTTCTCCCTAATAATATATATTTTGTGGTATTACAAGTCAAGTTCTGTATTTTGACAATATGTTTTTTTGTCTTTTTCTCTTTCAGTCAGATGGTTCAATTGTTATTATAGTCATCCTGGTGTTGCTGGCGCTTGTGGCTCTAGCCCTGATGTGGTGGTTCTGGCCTCTCTGCTGCACAGTGGTGAGTCTGCTCCTAACCAATGCTCTCATTGGTTTACCACTGTGGTTTATTTATGCACACAGAATGATAGTAAGTCTGTTTTGATCACATACTAATAAACCAGCTAAAAACAGGAATTTCTGTTTCACGTTGAAAATAAATTTCCTTCATAGTTACTTAATCTATTTAAAGCAATAACAGATGTGAGGAAACTTCCAGAGGCTCTTTTTTATCTTAACACCTACAAACTTCCTCTATAATCTAGTCAATCCCTTATTATACGAAAGCACATAAATAGTTAAATACATGTTAAGTACTTTGGTCTTGTGGCTGTAAAACATAACCAAACTAAAAACGTTAAGTGGGAGAGTTAAGGTTAAACTAATGCGAGCTGTTTGATTTGGTGCATCTTCTGTATGGTTTATTGCAATATTCTGCAGCAGTATGTTGTATATCTGCTCAGCCTTTTACCTTGTGAAACCGCAATGGTTTAGCAGCCTCAGAAAAGAAGTGAAGAAACCACATCCTGTAGATCACTTGATGGTGGCTGTTTCACCAAGCACGCCTTTCCTGCTCTGATAAATTTACTTTATGCAAACAGACAGAAAAATAAACCAAGGCATGGATTAGAACGTATAACATTCGAGTGGCGGTTGCTGAAGTTTCTGTTTATACAATCCCACACTGGTTCTTCCCAGGGGCAGACGTGATTAATAGTAATACCAGAGATTTTTAATTGTGTAATCCAGTTAAATCTGTTCCTGTTCCAGTAAAAACTCAAATTTCATGATCTTATCAGTACATTTGAATTTTAGCAACTCTTCCATTGGCTTTCACTTTGTTCTTTTATTATTATTTTTATTATTTAACAATACTAATGACATTTTTCTTTAAAATGTTTTAATATGGTAACTTCCGACCAGGTTAGTCACGTTTTACAACATAAGACCAAATAGTTACATTAGTTCAGATGTACAACACAATCACCCTACTGAGGAAAGTTAAGTTACTTTAGTTTCGTCCTCATATCCTCAAATAAGTATTAGAGCTTAAATGAAGATCAATTAAAACCTTGATTTTAGTTATAGTTTTGCTTACTTATTTTACTTATTTTACTTTATGACTATTCACTAAAGACAACATCCTAATTTATTTTTCTCCAAATTTGATTTCATAAATTGGTATCTAGAGCAGAGCTGCTGCTGCTCTTCCTCATTCAAGGAGCCATCTGAGGGTTCTTAGACTTTGAACCAAAAGGATTCCCGGTTGGATCATGGTGGAATAGCTGGGAATGTTTAACTTAAAAGGAGACCTACAGTAAGAGGTGATCCTGAACCTGCTGGAAAGCCTATAAATCTCCTCATATTAGAGCTGAAGATGTCTTTGATAACAAAAACAAAAAGTTCTATTGCAAGAATTTAACTTTTCAGCCTTGCTTCTTAAATTTCATAAATTTGAAAGCTTTGACTCAGTCCTGTTAAAGGACTCTACAGTGACAGCAGAAAAAGAAAATTAGAGCAACTAGCCAGACTTGCTTATCAATTACTAATTTTAGAAAAATCTACATGATCTAGATCTTTATTGCCAAAATGAAAACCTGTGCATTTAGTGAAGCTTACTTGAATGTCAACATTTGATCTGGTGTAAATGTTGCACAGTATCACAGCTCTGATTAGACCGGCTGAGAGAGGGTGTGTAAAAGGAAACTCTGGGAGGTCAAAGACACACCCCTGTGGTACAACAGAATAAAACTAATTTACCAAAGAGGAAGAACAGGGGAAAATTAAAGGTTAATGGTCTTTATTAAAATGTATATACCAAATATATTAAAAAGGTTAGGCTTTCAGTAGCAATACATCACACTAAAAATGATCTTTATTATAAGGTCCTTTATTATCACAGCAGTAGCTGAGGAAAAAACATTTATTGTTAATTTATAGGTAGGGTTGTCAAAAGTATCGGATACAATACTCATTTTTAAAAGTATCAATACAGTGCCACCATCAGTGGCACCTAAACAGTCATTCATCTAAAGTGCAGAATAGAGGACAATGCACAATCAGAACACTGTGTGATTGAATAATTCTGTGCACTTTTCAGTTTCAGACTTTTTTGATAAGAGGTGCAGCTGCTGAGAATTATTTTTGTTTCTTAACCGGTTTGGTTGGTGTCATTATTATGTGTTCAAAGCATAGCCAAGGAAGGGACACTTAATTTTAATTTTATACGTTTTTTATCAAGCTTGTTTAATATTGTGCACAGCATACAACCTTTATTGTATTTATTTATTGTATTTTATTTATTAATGAAAATATTTCTGTAGAATTTTGGAGTCTTTGTTTTTATCCTTGTGGTATCGAAAATGGTATCGAGTATTTAATATTTTCCTTAGTATCGGTATCGAGTTGAAAAGTTTAGTAACGTGACAACCCTATTTATAGGACCTTTAAGAAATAATGAACTTGATTGATCTTGGGCTTCCTCTTTTGTGAAATTCAGAATTTCTAATTGGACAGTTGTTTTCTTAGAACTGAATATTGTTTTGGGGCTGCACAGTGGGGCAGTGGGTAGCACTGCTGCCTTGCAACAAGAAGGTTCCGGTTCTTTCTGCATGGAGTTTGCATATTCTCCCTGAACATGCATGGTTTCTCTCCGGTTACTCCGGCTTCCTCCCACAGTCCAAAAACATGACTGTTAGGTTAATTGGCTTCTCTAAATTCTCCTTAGGTTTGAGTGTGTCCAAGAATGGTTGTTTGTCCTGTTTGTCCCTGTGTTGCTCTGTGATAGACTGGTGACCTGTCCAGGGATAAGCGTGACGAAAAATTTAATGGATAGAATATTGTTTCCTTTAAACTGTTTTAACCTGAAATTTAACATGCAAAACTAAAGGCTGCTCTTTCTATAGGTCAGCCTGGTTCTAACTGCGGATATAACAGTGCTGGTTAAAGAAAAAATATGACTTTCCTTGAGTGGAGGTTAAAAAGGCTGTAAAAGAAAACTACACTATGCCAGATGCTAGGTCCCATGGCGACATATTGTTTGTTTAGTCCTAAGCATTCATTAAAACTACTGTTTTAAAATCCCTCTCCCTGCCTGCGCCCCTTTATAAAACAATTCTCACCCACTTAACCAATTATATAAATCCACAACAGATTATCGTTTGGGGCTATGAGAGAGAGGCTACAGATGGTGTGCACCATCTCTCTCTCCGAGGCTTTTTCTGCTGAGACCTGATGAAGGCAATTTTAGCCCCACACAGCCTGCCCCATCACTCACCTCACTCACCCCTGAAATGATAGACGTCACCTGGCTTTGTGGACCTGAAGGGATCCCATCCAGGATGAGATGGAAGCATATTTTGGAAAACCAACAAAGGCATTAAAATGTAAACCCCCTGCAGCATGTCTGGCCGTGGACGTGTTTGTCTTGGTGGAGAGAGCTGCTGTTGCCTTCCATCGAGGGACGCGGCAGAAGAGGAGGGCCATGTGTGGCTTGTTAATATTTAAACCCCCAGTCTGCCAGGCTTCAGCAGTCGGGATGAGGCGATGAGGCCACGCGCGCACACACAAACTTCTCTCCCACAATCCCACTCTTCCTGTGCCTCTATCTGCATGGCCTGATGCCAGACGAGAGGTCAGACAAGCTGTGGAGTGGTAATTTCTTTGTTTATCATTTGTTTGGAAATTAAGCCCTGCACGGCATTGCCTTTGTTTAAATCAAAGGATTGGAGATGGAATTTTGAAATGCAAGAGAATTTATCTAAATTACCAAAGAATTGCTCCAAATTTGGAAACCTTTTCAACTCATTTGGAGCCTTATATGTCGATCATTTCTAAATACTCTGTGGTCTTTTATTTAATAAGCTGTATGTTATGTCAGCACAGTAATGAAAACCTATGTTTCTTTGATTTAGTCTAAATAATTTTTCAATATGGTGCCAGCCACCGATTCATCAAAATAACCCTCCTGAAGCAGCTTCACACAACATCGTTTGAGCTTAGGTTTGGGAGCAAGCAGATTTTTGAGCCCAGTTGGAAGTTCCCAGAGACAGCCATATGTGGATAGTACCCTGAGTGCTTCTGATCGGTCTGATTCCCTGCGGTGCGGATGCTGTGGTGGCGAGCCGCTGGGGCTGGTGTCAGATGGCTAAGCATCCCACGGTTTAGTTTTTAATTACGCCACCGTGCTGCAGAGAGCTCACATCTGTCCGTCAGGTTGCTGGGAAAAGAGCAGCAGAGCTCCGCCGTTTGTGTAATGCTTTATTTAGCCCACAACATGTGCAGGAAATCTGCTGCATAATTACTTAATAAAAAGAGATAATCCCGTCACCGTAAGGTGTGGCTGGAATGCTGTTAATCAGCGTATGGAGAGGTCATCTGTAGACCTCTGCAGGATTTGTGTGCAGCCAGTTGTGTGTCAAAGAGAAATTAATTAACCCTAATTGATAGTTTTTCATTATTCTAATGACAACACTGCGGCACTGACGGTGCAGGGGATACCGACGATATCTCCGAGCTTAGCCAGGAACGTAACAGCTGTTCAGATCTATGATAGGCCATAATTACATTGCTCCCTTTTCCCTCCAAAACCACTTTAGCAAATGCAAAACCATCTCTGACTTTACTATCTGTCTCTGATGACTAATGAGCCAGACGGTGCTCTCTCACCTTAAGCTGAGATGTGCGCTCAGTAATTATTGTGTTTGGTGCTAAAGTCCATAACTGTGTAAAAATGGAGCAATGCATGGAGATTTCTTTACAGCGGTGTCTGGGTGGAAAACTGGATATAAATGACCTTTGCTTACTTGCTAATGAGACTTTTGTAAATACTTCCTTCTAATGATACCACTTCAAACACATTATGCTTCGGCTTTAGATTAAGTTTTATTAGCTCTAAAAGCAGTCCATATTTTATAACTTCCACCTAAAACACTGATTAGAGTTGTGAATAAATGAGGTTGGAGCTTATTTTCTGATATGGTCCTCCTTATCAAATGCAGATCTGAAAGGTGTGGAATGTTTGTATTTGCCTTCCCCTCCAATGAACTCTGAGGACATTCACTGTTCGTGCATCATGACACTGCCATCTCCATGTTTTACAGTTTAAATGCTGTGTTCAAGGCTATGTGCAATGTTACAATGTTTGGCATCCTGATGGAAAAAAAAAGAAGTTTAAAATCTTTGTTGCTTCAGACCATAACACCTTCTTCTCCCCGTTTGTGGCTTTTGGCATAATTGAAAGAAAGTTTTGCATGGGTTTTCTTACTGCTTTATCATAAAGTAAAGTTTTTCAGTTTTCAGTCCCGATAGTTCAATCAGCAGATTCTCCCATTGAAACGTTGATCCACAGCTTTGATGGGATGAATGAATGACAACAGTGCCCTGTGGAAAAAAGTCACACCATTGATTATTTTCTTCCTAAATTCTTTGCTGTGTTCCTTGGTCTTTGTGATGCTGTTTTTTTTAACTTATGTTCTCTAACAAACCTCTGAACCAAACAACAGGACAGCTGATGTTATGTCCAGATTTAATTACACACGGCTCCTGCCGCTCCAATCCTATAGCGATTCCTGGGCTGAGCGCCCTGGCTGATATCCGATACCGCTCCTATTGAACTGTTGAATTAATTAACTTTATATCTTGCTATGTTAGTGAAGGCTTTAGTCTTGAGATAAACGTTCTTCAAAAAAGGTAACAAATTAACACATATATAAACGTAATTAATATAACATATTAATAAATAAGCCGCAAAAAGAAAGAAATTACAGTTCTATGTAATGTGCACAGGACTGGATCTCAGATTTCCGATCCAGGTATCGGATCTGTGCATCAAATGTTTTTTAAGGCTGTGTCAGTTTCCTTCCTAGCGTTTATTGAAAGGTAGGCTTTAGGTTTTTCTTTTCTGGCTTATGTGGCCTTTTTTTGACAGTTGATAAACAAGAAATGAGTGGAGGAAAAAGGAGAAAATGAAAAGTAGCAAAGGTTTACAGGTTGGGTTCGAATCTTGACCTAAAAACCTTTGGACCACACCCTCTAATCCATGGCTGATTTGAAATCCTTGTTTAAATTTTACAGTTTAAAAAGACAACTCGTCAACAGTTTAATCAGAGTTGTGGGTTTTGTCTGTTATGTCCAAAAAAAACCCCCAAAAAAACAGGAGGTCCCATCCTGTGTCTTTTTTACGGCCGTGTTACCTTTAAGTGAGTGCTGGCTTTGTTTTCAGCAACCGATGGACATCAGTATGTGAAACGTCTGAGTGACACCTGACAAATGTCACCGTCAGGCTCCTCTTTGCTTTGCCATGCATGTCTAAAAAACCCAGTCCAGGCATCTTGTCCCTGAGTGGAATCACATTGTGGACAACCTGCTCCTCAGGTGCCTTGTCAGTCCACGTTGTCACGGAGACCGCCTCCAGGCCGGTCACTCTGCTGTCAGTAAGCTGTGTCATGGAAATCTGTGTGTGGATGTGTTTTAGTAATTTTTTTTTTCTTTTTGCCGCCACTCATTCCCTGCAGACAGCACTTGGATCTGCGCCCGCGCCTCCTTCTTCGCATCTCATTGGAGCTAATTAACTCCTTAGGACTTTATGATTGGGGGGATCGCTTCGGAGCGCTGAACCCCATCCAATTAATTAGGAGTTAAACAGGCTACAGAGCTCACCCCAAAGACTATCCTGTCAACAAGTTGATTTTCAGCTTTTCTTTATTTTGCACAGGGGGCCCCTGATGTTGGTTTACAAGCAGGATCCTTGTAATCAGTAGTCAGCTGGGCGATAGGGCAGCAGTTGTTGCTTGTGAGGCTGGCAGCGATGGTGTCGCCATCGTGAGTTGAGCTCAGGGATGTCTCTGTTAGGCTGTGTCACCTGTCACGAACCGACCCTGTCAGCCTCGTCTGTCTTGATAAGGTTTGAGCGCATGTCCTCCTGCTGACCAGCTTTTGTTTTTTTTTCTTTTTCTGTTTATTCAGGTCATCAAAGACCCACCGCCGCCTCCTCCACCTTCTCGCCCCCCTCCACCTGTGAGTATGTCACTGCTGTGTTGTTGCAATCAGACAACAACACAATGTCAGCAATGCAGATTAGGTTCCTCTGAGCTGCATATATCAATTCTTTTTTATTAGAAAACAGGCCACTTTGTTAAATTATCTTTATTATTTTGTGAGGATGAGCAGATTGAAAGGAATGGTAAAAAACAAATCTGTCATTTCATCTTGAGTGAGAATAAAATTTTATTTAGCAGAACTTAGAAAAGAAAACTAATTTTATTCATTTCTAATTTTTAAGATCATTTCTTTTGAGCAACAGCAGTGAAAATAAATGTATATATAAAATATATGTTTAATACATTGGAGTAAACTGATAAAAATTAAAGATAACAAAAAATTTAATAAAAGGTTCACTAAATGCATTTGGTGGTTAATGTTCATTTTAATAGGGCATTTTTAAAATTCTAAATAAGGAAAAGGCATTGATAAACTGGCTACTTGCCTTTACTCTCCATTACTCACAATCAAAGCAATATTTACACCAATAAAAACAATGTGTGATCAGGAAGAGAAAATATGTTAAAAATATAATTTGATTGCCTTGTACAGTATGGTATGGTAGAGGATAGATAATGATATGGGACCATCTTTTTCACAGACCCAAAGAATGTTGCTATTAAATTACATAACTCTGCAGTTTTACAATATATTACTGCGATAAAAGATTAATTTATTGTGATGCCTTTGCTAATTGTTAGCTGAAGTGTAAACATTTCAGAGGCAAAATTAGGAATATTTTTTAGACCAATTTTTAATATGAGGCTTTTGCAGTTCCCTGAACCATGCTGACTGAATGCATGGTGGGAAAAAACATCTTAAGTGTGTCTTCCTTCCTGGTGAACTGAAACAATAATGATGAATATCTTCTACTTCCTTCTTATTGTCATACAGCTGCAGCTGTTCTTATTAATAATGTCCTTTAGAGAAACATGTTTCCCACATTCTTCTCCCAGGAACCTGAGCCCCTGCCAAAGAAGAAGTGGCCGACGGTGGACGCCTCGTACTATGGAGGAAGAGGAGCTGGAGGAATCAAACGCATGGAGGTCAGACCCGAAACGTCATCCTAAAACTGCTTTTTGTTCGTTTATTTTTTTCTGTTTTACAGCAGAGAGGCTTAAACATGTTTTATGAATAAGGAAATAAGATTGTTCAAAGATCATCCGGATGAGGTCATGGCTCTTATCTGATGGGTCCAGTCCTGATTCCCCCGGAAACCTGCTGACGTTGACTCTTTTCCGTGTTGTTGGAAGTTGGTTGAGTTAGAGGAAAGCAGCGGGCTGGCCTTCCCCGCCGCTGTCCTCGTCATTCTGCTGATGCTTCTGACATGACAGGCCCTGCTATCTCGTCCTGATTGGATCAAGTCGCTGTTCAGTTGGAAGATTGAGTGCTGCTGTCAACTTGACACGTCCACCTCGCTGACTCCATGCTTCCCCCTTCCTGAGCTGAAGGGTAGATGTGTTAATTTCTTAATCCTCCTGGTAAAATCCAGGTCTTCTGCCTTGAAAATTCATCATCTACTGTTTCTCAGCCCATTGGATGATTGTGGCATTCTCCAGGTTTGCCATAATCCTCTGGGATCAGTTATCTCCTGACTGTGGTTTTGTGAGTGTCACTGAGCTACAGGGTTGGGTATCATCCTCTGCTTTGCATGTTTAGCAGCCTAATTCACGCAGACAGCCTCCTATCCACAATCATGTCCTCTGGAGGCTGGAAAAACAAGGTTCTGTTAATATTTGCATCCACATTAAAGACACCATGCTGAGAGAACCTCCACCTCCACTCTGCATCTGCCTATATTTTAAATGATCGCTGAGACCCGACATGTGAATGCATCTTTTATTCATGACAGGGCTCTTTGTTTTCTTGAAGATGCACCAGGGCTGGGATGCACCCTGCAGATGATTCGGAGAAGCTGTTCTATATTGTCATGGCTTAACCTACAGCTTAGAAAATGTGTCACTAATTAATCACCTCTCCCTGTTCATGTGGCTGTGTTTTTTTTTTTTGTCTTCCTTGGAGCAGATGTGATGATTTCAATTAAAAAGCAGGACAGCTTGACTAACAAACAGACTCCCATCCACAGACTCACACAGTATGCACACACACACAGTATGCACACACTCACACACACACACACACACACACACACACACACACACACACACACACACAACTCTGACAGCAAATCAGAGGAAGAAGTTTTTTGGACCAGAGTTCTTAATGGTCTTAATGCTTTCTTGGGACTAATGAGGGAAAGTTGCGACAAAGTAGAGCTCATAAAGTGCATTTATTAAGTTGTCATCTTTCGGTAAGTTTATTTTGTAAAAAGTCTAGAAGTTGTGGGTATGAATTAGGACAATGATGAGTTGCAGGGATATCAGCAAGACCTTAGATAAGCTACAACCACTAAAACTGCATGCTTCCCATCTATATGGTAAGGGTTGTAGGCCATCTCATCATCAATTTAATCTATATAGTAAGAACATTCACAACTCCAAATTAATTCAACCCTACAATGCTTGAGGAATTTGTAAATGACTCTAGTCCATTGCAATCTTATATTTCTCAGTTTGCACAGCATGACTGAGCTTAATGATGTTGCATCTGAAATAACTAAAAGACTTCTGGAGCATCCCGGTTTGGATAGATGAGGCAAAGTTAAGACCATTGGTCAATGTGAGGCCATCTGCCTGCCTGAAGCCTTATCTGCACAGCTGTGGTTGGAGCCTAGGATGGTTGGGTTTAAACAAACACAGATATCAATAAACTGAAGAGTTTACTAAAGTTCCTCCAGAACAGTGAAATAGGCTGGTAGTCATGCAGAAAGAGAACAATCACTGAGAGTTACTACTGCAAAAGCTGATGTTTTCAATCCAAAAAAGTTTAAAATACTAACCTTCTAAACTTGTTTTCCTCTTTGATGAAAGAGCTTCTTTCACCAAACAGATGTAGTGTACTAAGCTTAAAGCTGACGGGAAGAGCCATTTTACACTCTGGAATCCTCATTCAGGTTAGACTTTCATTAATAATCAGGTGTTGGTTCTGCCCAAACTGACAACTGGCTGTGAAAACAAATAGGTAAATATCCTGAGCTGCAACAGATGAACAGAAAGTGACTGAGGAGCTTAACTCCAAAACAGCAAAATATAAAAGAGAACTTAATGAAATGAGAAAAGGAGAGAGGGGACAAACCCTCAAATCCTACTGTAAGATGGTCAGAAAAGATTTAACTTTCCCAGATCTGATATGTATCCGTTTTAGCTCTCCTTTATGTTTTCGTCATTCCTGTTTAGGTACGGTGGGGAGAAAAGGGCTCGACTGAAGAGGGGGCCAGACTGGAGAAGGCGAAAAATGCAAAAGTGTCCATACCAGAAAATGTGGATGAGCCGATGATTAAACGGCCAACTCCTAAACCAACTTCCAGCAACCGACAGTCTGAGAACAAATGGTACACTCCTATCAAGGTATGTGTTTCCCTCTTATCACATTATGCTCATTCTTATGAAAAAGAACTTCAATAGGAAAAGCTAGATACATTAAAAAAACTGGAAAAATCAATAAATTCTTCTTTTAACTGTTGTTATCCTTTTATAGTTTTGTTTTGTATTGACTTCACAGAGCTAATAGCTGCATTACCATTTATCTAATACTTAAAACTCATTTGTGTTTGAATTTCCAGAGGGCTGTTAGAAGTGTTCACTCTTGTCCTTTTGCCTTAAATGTTTTCTAAAAGTAACAATTATTTGGCCAAAATTCAACTAGTTTTTTCTGAAATGGGCTCTGATCAGCAATCAGCAGGTCAAGGGAGAAAGGATTTTCTCTTCCTTAAATGCAACAGAGCTTAGAACTCCCGCCTGTTTTGGTCTGTAAATGCATCACAAACAAATTGAATTTGAAAAACAATTCCTTAGATGCGCTTCATTCATTCAGCTATATGTTAGGGAAATTGCTTTGATGCTTTAGTTGCGACAATCTTATGTCGCTTTAAAAACCTGCAGCTCATTTGTTTCCTGCCTTATGTGCTGTTGTTTTGCCTAGGGATGCTTATATGGAAATATGGGCAGATATGTTATATTAATATTACTGTTATGTTTTCCATACCCACTGTAAAAATGACTACCACACAGGTTAAGAGGCCTCTTGTCTCCAGATAACTAACAATTATGGATGGCATCATTGGTACTGGGAAGACTACCCTTCCCAAAACACAAAAACTGTTATAAGAAAGAAAAAAAATGTTGGTTGATATTATTGGCCCAGTTTCTCTAATAGAACTGTTACTGATATGTTCAAACAAGAAGGCTAACATTAGCCAACAAAGAGGATGCAGATTTAAGCCTAAAATTGACTTCAAACTGAGTTTACTTCCAACCTATAGTATTAAATGAAAGGTTCCCGTATATATTTTCAGTTAAATTCCTGTTCTCATATTTTCTCCTAAACCTTCTGTTTGTGCACCATCAGGGTCGCCTCGATGCTTTGTGGGCTTTGTTGCGTCGGCAGTATGACCGAGTCTCCCTAATGCGTCCAACATCTTCAGACCAGGTAAGACTGTGGATAGAAAAAAAAAAAACGTCCTGATTAAAACCTGGAAATGTTTTGTAACAATAACTGATAGATTTGATCATACAGCAGATATTGTGGTGGCAAACAGCAAAGTAAATCTGTTCCTCCTGAATAAATTAACCTTATTAGAGATTTTATAGAGTAGGTGTGCCACGGCTTGGCCGTTTTATATATTTTTTGCCAAAATAATGTTTTAATTTTTTTTTTTTTTTTTTATTGAGAGGATATCTTAAAGATATTTGAAATATCACACGCCATACCTCTTGATGCTTAAAAAGCTGAAGGTTTTTCCAACACATCAGTGGGATTTCTTGCTCAGCAATGGCTCTACTCTGGTTCATATTTGGTCTCCATAGTAACCAGCTGATTAACTGGGTGATGGTACCAGTAACCTCTTTGTTGTCTGTACAGATACATGTTAGATTCAAGCACTGTTAGTAATTTCAGCTGGATCCAAAGATGTGGGGGATCGTGTCCACAGTGGACAGCCAACCTTGCACACATTCATTATCAAGTTTGATGCACAGGTATCATATTAGAATATAGATGGGAGGTTAACAGTTTCAATACCCAGTCTGCGGTTCTGAGCAAACAGCTTCATCTGCTTAAAGGCTTGCTCAGTAGTTTTGTTTTGCTTTTTCTGTGAAAGGCCGGTGCAGATGTCAGGTATGCATTCTCAAATCACATGTAGGGTGGCTATAGGTTTTATACCCTTATGCATTAATTATCTGTTTCCTAATATTTCTAATCAGCCCTTAAATGGAGATGTCTTGCTGAAAAACCTAGAAAAACTGAACGTGCAGCTTGTATATTTTATAAAGTTGCAGCCAATGTTTTCTAACTGAAGTTTCTCTTACACTCAGCCTGCTCTGGTTCAGCAGGTTCATTTCTGACAAAGTTTCATGGACATAATAACCTTTATACATGGAGACATACTGTAAAATTCTTTTGCTTTTTGTAAGAATCTCATTGTTGCCTGATAAAGAACAGCCTTATGTAGCAATTGATATATATATATTTTATTTGCTTTCCATTTAAGTATTTATTAAGGGTTTTGTCTATTTAAAGGCAGAATATTCTGTTCTCTGTGTGGTTTGAACAGATATATCTGTCCCTCTATGTGAATTGGTTTACAGTTGCAGACATGAGGAGTCATTGCTTTATTGTATTGCTGTGAATGGATTCACACAGCTGCCTCCAAGCAGAGGAAGCTTCTGTGTCATCTTGTGCATTGTGTTGTTTATAGCTCAGTGTGATGAAGTGAGCGGCGGATACAGCTGCAAAGCCTAACAGAAGGAAGCAGTACAGGGATGGCCTAATATGGTCAAACTCTTGGCTTCACTCGAGCAACAGAGGAGGAAATAAACTGAAACACAGAAAGCCAACGCCCCTCAGGTGGTTACAAGAACCGCCATCAAGTCAGAGTTAACCGGATGTTTTAATATGTTTTAGAAACTCTAATATGGTACACACTCTAACAAGCTAAACAGTCTGCTGTGGATGTAAATTTGCTCACATAAAACCAGGAATAGATGCTATGGAAAGGGAAATCTGATGATTCAGAAATAAATACTGCCAGTTTAAAAACAAACCAAAGAAAATCGTAACCTTGCAGTTTTTCCAGCATTTCTCTCATTATCTAACTCAGACTCTTTCAGACACGCAAACTAGAAGATACAATCAGAACTGCCTCTCTGTGGTGGGTGGTTCTGTGTAGGTCAGGGATCTGAGAACTGGAACCATATGGGTTTTGTTCAGAGAATGATGTAAGACCATTCGTTTTTTTCTGTGGGAAAAGGTTGAGCTCTGCAAAGACAGAGGAAACTTTGAGGGAATCTAGCAGCTGACAGCGTAGCAGGCGTTACTCAGCATGCCACCGTGCTTTTCCTAAATCGGATCATAAATGATCAAACCATAGGATTTTGTAAACTGTTAAATTGAAGGATGGAAATGTTTTATAATGGGAACATGTTTAAGTTTAGGATACAGCAGTTAGAAAGCTATGGAGCATGGTTAGAAAAGCCTTTTTCCTTCCAGAAAAAACAGCTTAGGTTTGCAAAAGATGCATAGAGACAACGTCAAAGGATTGCATTTCATTCTGTCATTCTTTTATCACCTATACCAAAAACAGGCAATTTAAGCACCTTTCTGCATAAAACAGCAAGAATTTAAATCAGATGGTGAGGCTTTTCTGCTTTTCACGTCTCCAGAGCTGCTTTTATATAATAATATAGAGTGCTTCCTGTTCCTATTTTTTTCTTTTGTTGTTATTTAAAGAAAAGTTTTGCTTAAGGAGACATTCCTTTGTTTTAGGTGTGATGGATATATATGATCATCCCACATGTACATTTTCCTCCAGTTCAGGAAAACCAGTGATCTGATCACTCAGCTAACAGAGGCCAAGCTAGCAGCTAGCTCCCATTTTTATTCTGATCTCTGAGACAATTTCAACTTTTACTTTAGTCATCAAGACAGTAGACAAGAGACTCTGGAGGCCACCAGACAGAGGAGGCCGCAGGAGTGACACCATGGCTCAGCAGGAGCCGAGAAAACATTCTGCTGGCTTTTTAAAAAAGCAGGACAGCAATTATTCATTCATCCAGTTTTATTTATATTAGTTTATTCACAGATTCTCCTTTAAGATAATGGCATTATGGCAACCCGAAACCAGTGATAGAACCAAACAGACAAAATTAGGAGTTCACTTTAGAAAACAGGGGAAAATCATTTAAATAAATCAGTTTTCACACAAAATATAAATATATATGAAAAAGTAAAAATATGATCAATAGTGCAAAGAATTTATAAATCAGTTTACTTTGACTTTATTTATTTTCATGTTTTCAGATCTAAAATATCAGATGAATGAAAAAAGTTATTTTAAAATCCCCAATGTTACGAGTCTGAACAGACAGGAAGACTACTGAGTTTTTAATGTCAGTAGGCTTCCCCTGCCAGTTGGACACTGAGGTCAGGCAAACCTGGATTCATCAGTTCATCTGTTACAAAGAGAAAGGGGGGAAAAAAAGAGCTGCTTTAAGTTCAGGAAGTAGTTGAGTTGTCCATAGAGCCTATTGACTGAACATGGAGAAGGACTGCATGCTTAACCCTTAAGTTTGAATGGTAGTGGTGCTGTTGGTGGTCTCCTCTCCTCTGGGCCTCTCATTGCCCCTTTGGTTGTGGTCTGAGCAGAGAGAGGCAGAACAAAGCTGAAGAAGGCGGCGCTGTCCTGTTGCAGGTTTGGTGTCGATGGCAGAGAGCACAGCAATGCCAGAGAGAGTGAGGGATGGAGGGAGGAAGGGATGGAGGGAGGAAGGGAGCCTTTGATGGCGGACAGGAAACCTCCAGGGTCATGAATTTTTCAGCAGCTTCCATCCGCTGGGTTACAAGGACTCATACAGGTGTAAGGAAGCAGGTTGTCACAGACATCTGTTCAGCACGGGGACCCGGGTGTGCCCCCCCTCCTCACCCATCGCTCAGTATCTA